CACACACACACACACACACACACACACAGGAGCAAATTTTTGGGTCTATATCTATATTTAATTTTCAAGAGCTAGTCTAGAGATTTTTAGACGAGTGTAAAAACGTGAAAAAGAAAGGTTTCACAACAGAATGAAATCAAATTAGAACAGCCCACAAACAACAACAAACATTAACAAATAAGGGCGTGTGTCCACCTGTCCGAAGAAAATTTGCTGTTTTAACCCTAAATGTGCGTAATTAAAAAAAAAAAAAAGTACAGGATATTATTAGCCTACATGTAAATTATGGAATAACACACATTAAGGGGCTTGCCAGTGTCAGTACATTGGTCGCAGCAGTGACAAACGCAGATATGTCAGTTCTATGTGTCGTTATCAATTATAACCCTCCGTAGATCTAGATCTAGATCTAGATCTAGACAGCACACGAGTGAACACAACACATTACGTATAAGAGCAGCACCCTTCATAGGCAACACGTCATTATATCTGTAGCGAAAAACTGTTTGGAGTTGTAGCATTTCTTTATATAAATATTTACTGCCGACATTTTTTGGACCGATCGAACCACATTGTAAACGAACAATCTTTGAAGGCCTCTATACTTTAATTATAGATCTTTATAATATCTTAAATTTGCGGGAAAGGATGAGATTACAGAGTGTTCGTAGAAATAATGCCCAGCTTTATTTTCCCGAATGTTCGGAGAAATAGTGCCTAGATTGCTAGATCTAGCTTTATTTTCCCGAACGTTCGTAGAAATAGTGCCGGCCTTTGGCAAAAGGGATTATTGGGAGTGTATACAGACCCGGTAACCGGGAACAAAGTCACAAAGTATACAGACCCGGTAGGGGAACTCTTTTGTGATTTCGGAGAGTTTCAGCGCCCTCTTGGCTCAGGGTAGACCTAGGTTCTTCTATCTATGGTCTAGATCTAGATCTAGGCAGACATAAATCTTTGATCTATTTCGCGGCTAGCCTAGATCTAGATCTAAATGAAGATTGCGGATGTCTTTTCGATGAACGATCGTTTTTACTCCGTTTTGGAGTTGGAGGAATCACAATTTAAAGAAAAGAACAATGTCATAATTTCAATCGAGCAGTCACCCTCTCTATTTCTCTGCCCCCCC